AATATTTACACTGTTGCGCATTGTGCTAGATACTTAATAGTCACACAGACTCTATGAGGTAAACTAGAGGCCCGTTGCATGACATTTGTGCACTGCGGGGGGGGGGGGGCCCCCCAGCCCGGTATGCCCTATCACAGTCCAGGACCCCTCAGGGGATGCCCGCCTACCAGCTTATGCCCACTCCCCATGGCAGGCGGGCAACCCCCAAGGGGTCCTTAGCACTGCCACGGAGGCAGGAGAGGTTCCTGCCACCACCGCAGCACTCACCAGCCATGACCTTAGCTCGTGCATTGAGAGTCTGCCCCCTGGTGGTCATTGTGCGTCACAGCGACATTGTTCCACCGTTTAGTCAATTTGCATATTAGCCTTTTTACTATATAGGATAATACTAAGCCCATTATACACATGGAGAAATTGAAACTCAGTTTTACTCTACATAACTTGCTTGAGATCACCAGCAATAAATGCAGAGCTAGGACCTAATCCTTGCTCTTCCCGCCATGCTTCAAAGTCAAGTACCAGACTGAGGATTTGTGAGACACAGAAGAAATTCCAACCTGCTTCGTCTCTCAATTCACTTACACTCAACACTAACAGAGTGCTGAGCACCATGGTTGAGAGCAGAAAATTAAAAACAACGAATTATGCCTGCTAGGGTTTGGAAATGTTTGGAGGCTTTCTTTATGCCATAAAGAAGGAGAGAAATAAGAAGGGGGGGGGGGAATGAACAAAAGAGAGACAGGAATTAATAATGTGGTACAACATAAAATGTATTAAGGATAATGAAATAGAGGAAGAAAGGTGATTGAATGGTTCATGAATTTAAAAAATCAATTGTGTGATAAAAACTCATGCTTTTACAGCAAAATAGTAGATAGTCTAGATTTTAGAAAAGCTCATATACCCAAAATACCTTTAAATCTAAAATGTCATTCTGGATGATAGTAATGATTATGTTTACTAAAAACTTAAATATACAAATATTAATTATACAGATTAGGTGACCAGAACGTATTTTTGTAACGTTTTTATTTACGGACTTGAGAGCCAGTCTCAATGAAGCTCATTTTCTGAAGTGATTATAGTCAGTGATTGGAAACAAAGTCAAGCACTCAGAGAAATAGATTTGCCATAGATTTTCTATCTTACCCAGCTTCTGAACAATTAACATGTGCCAGGCATTGTGCTAGTCTCCTCTGCTTTTCTTGTGCTTATGAAAAAGAGAAAATAGGTCATGAGCACAAAGAAGCTTCTTGCAACTTGTGACAAATGTCATCACATGAGCTATGAGCAAACTGCTACAGGAGGGAAGAAAAGACACAGATTTCTTCTTACTGAAAGGGTCAAGAAAGGATCCATGAAAGGAATATTATTTCAACAAGGGCTCTGAATTTTGGTAGCATAACAAAAGTATTTCAGATTAAATAAAGGTGTAAAATGATCAAAACAACAGATATCCCAAAAGTGACCCAGAAGACTCAGTTATCATGAAACTGATTTGGTATTAAAACATTGATTCAGGCTCAAGTGACTACATACATTTCCATTATTCCACTGTATAAGTTCCCTATAACAGTGATGGCAAACCTATGACACGCGTGTCAGAGGTGACACGCGAACTCATTTTTTTGGTTGCTTTTTCTTTGTTAAATGGCATTTAAATATATAAAATAAATATCAAAAATATAACTCTTTGTTTTACTGTGGTTGCAAATATCAAAAAATTTCTATATGTGACACGGCACCAGAGTTAAGTTAGGGTTTTTCAAAATGCTGACACGCCGAGCTCAAAAGGTTCGCCATCACTGCCCTATAACATGAACCCTCTTCTTAGTCTGCTTTAAATCATTTCAGAAAATTCTCAGTGTTTAAGAAGGATTGTGGAAATAGTCCTCAGAGAGACAGATCTAATATCCTAAAGTTTTAAACCCAAGACATTGGGTGCTGGCTTTGTGGTGAATTTATTTCCACTTTAAAGACTTGTAAGAGGCACTGGCCGGTATGTCTCAGTTGGTTGAGCATCGTCCTGTGCACTGAAAGGTCATCAGTTCAATTCCCGGTCAGGGCATATACCCAAGTTGTGGGTGCAATCCGTGGTTGGGTGTAATCCCTGGTTACATACAGAAGGCAACCAATCAATGTTTCTCTCTCTCCCCTCCCTTCCTCTCTTTCTAAAATCAATAAAAACATATTGTAAAAAAAGTTTTAAGAGAAACTTTAAACCATTTGTTAATTTTCTCATGGCCTATGTTGTTGACATTAAGGTCAAACATCATGTTCCATCCAAGGGGAGGAGAAAGCAATAGAACGGCCTTGAGACTTGGGAAATTTCCAAGTGCCAAGACCAACAGGCCCAATATTTAGAGTGAAACATATTGGGAAAACATGAGCACAGGGCTGCGACACTCACCCTTTTCCCTTAGTCTTTAAAACTCACCAGCCCTGCTTACTGTTTCTATTATTTTAAAAATATATAAATATGGGAACAACATTTAATTGCCAGAAAATATAACTTCTCTGCCTGTATTTTTAATTCTACAGAGAAAATGTAGCTTTCTTAAATGCAACATCTTTCAAATGTACCATATTGCCTTTGTATTGTCCATTAAAAGCACCAGACCAATGTATACTTAAAAACTTAACCCCTAGTTGTTGGGTTTTGTGACGGGGAGACAAACAAGGGCTTTTATCTCCTTGATCATTATGCTCCTGGAAGATATATTCAGTAGGGTCCTTTTCCTATTTCTTCTATGTCTTCTTCAGGACTCTGTACTGCCACATTCTTTTTAGCACTCTCCAGCAGAACTTTCTGCAATGACAGGAATGCTCTACATCTGTGCTATGCAATACGGAAGCCCCTGCCACTAGCACTTAAAATGTGGCTAATACAACCAGAAAACTGAAGTATAATATCAGTTAGTTTTAACTGATTTAAATTTAAATAGCTACATGTGGATAGTGTCTAGTGTGCTGGACAGCACAGCTAGAGAAAAGTGAACTTGGGTGCTCTGTTTAGATGCTTGTGCTTGTATATGCTACAAGTATTATGAGTGGTTAATAATTATCGAACAAGAAAGCATCAAAAACTCTTAAAATGAAGAATCAGCAGGTTCCAGATAAATATATGTGTAAAGATATATGAGTTAGATGTCCTCAAGTAATAGAGAAATAGAAGAATCTCACAAGGAACAATTAAAATATTTATAAATATTTGGCTCAGGGAAGAGGAAACCAGTTTGAGAAAGGTGGTGTGGGGCTGGGGGAAGCAGAAAAGTCTTTATCTGGAAGGGAGGATGCTTAGACCTGGCAGCTATCATATGGGACAGAGAGATGACTTCCTTTTGTGAGTTCTCACAAAAATGAATGCCAGCATTCTAAGGGGAAAGATCAATCAGTTAGAAGGTCCTGCAGAGCCCACTTTCCCAACCAGGAAACATGGTGGTCAGGACAATGACATCAGGAGCAAAAGAAGCAACAAGGGATTTGAGATTAATTTCAGAGGTTCACTGTAATTCCCCCCACCAGAACTACAAGGACAGACTTTACTTTTCTGCTGCTATACTCTTAGTGTATGTAATAGTTCTCAATCAATATTTGATGAGTTAATGAATAAGTCAATGAAAGAAAGAGGAATGAGGATAAATCTCAAACCAATCCAGGTAGCTCAGCTGATTAGAGCCTCATCCAGACACACCAAGATTGTGGGTTCTATTTCCAATCAGGGCACATACAAGAAATAACCAATGAATGCATAAATCAATGGAACAACAAAGTTGATCTCTCTCTCTCTCTCTCTCTCTCTTTCTCTCTCTCTCTAAAATCAATACTTTTTTTAAAAAAAAAACTTTATGTTAAATAAAGCTAAACTTTTTTTCACTGTTTTTTTTTTTCCAATCATCACTTTGTCAGCAGAGGTTAAACTAATTTTTTTTCCAATCTTTTCTACAGGGAGCGGGAGGTTCCTGTCCTCATTAAAAAACATGGGCCTTGCTGAGAACCAAGGTTCTGAAATCCTGTAAGGTCACCATGATATCCACTGCCTGATTGTTGAATAAAATGCATCTAAATACTTCCTGTGGTTCCCATATGCTTTATTCCAAAAGGCATGTTTGATTATAGTGGGAACAAAGAACCAAGTTTATAAAATCCAGCAATCCGGTCATTTCAGACAGGGTTTCCTTCATGGTACTTTTTGCTTCCCCATCTTCCTTGCATTCTGAGGACTCTGTCTTAGGAAATATGACTGCAGATATTGAAGTGACAGGACACAGTTGATCATCAATACACTTAGGACTAGATAGCATTTTCAGAAACAGGTGGAAAACTAGTCCAGAAACATGTTACCCATCACCTATCACCTTCACTAATGAAATAATTCCTTTAGGTTTTCCTTGGGATTTAACTGAGCATCTATTGTACCTGGCAGTGGTCTAGGTACACATGTGTAAGAATTAAAAGAGCTGTCTATCTGGTAGAAAACAATTTAGTCTTAAGATTTTCCCTGTATCTTAGAGTATAGATTTCAGGTGAGACACAATTTTCTCAAAGAGGCTCTGAATTACTGAGGAAACCAAAAAGGCTACATTTTCTCAACTATTCTGTGGAATAGCCTCTGCGTTCAGCTTTAATTCTTACTCAGCAGAGGTAACGCCCCATTAGTGACGAAGACTTTCTGTGGTACCTGAGATTTGGAGGGAGGGGTAAAGCAAAATCAAATCAAGCATTAGGGTAGGATGCTCAGATCACACCCAGATTGAGACCATTTTTAGTATTCCCTTCCCTCCATCCCAACAAAGCTCTTCAATCTTCCCTATGAAGTCCCAGGTTAACCCAGGCACACACCCGACCCAGCTTCTAAGTCTTGTAATTACCTATTTATACTGCTGTGTTCTCAGTATTTCTGGCTGCATGTATCTGTTGCCCCAGGCAGACCAGGTTTAAGACATGCCCATCTGTCTCCCCAGATCAACTTCATTTAAATGAGCATGTCCTCCTGGCTGCAAACAAGAGAGTTTTTTAAAATTGATGTTTCAGGAAAACTAGGACGGAGTCATTTCTAAGACAGAGCACTGCATTTATTTACTCGAAGCCACTGGGAAAGAATGATTGATGAGCCAAGGTTTGCTTCTCACCATATGTAACCAAAGGAGTCTGCATTAGTGTTGCTACATTTCTCAGCGTGCAGTCAATGGAAAGTACATTTCATTGGAACGAGACAGAGCTATTTAAGTGACCTCCAATATTTTAGTATTAATAGTAGGCCACGAATCGATCAGGTCTTCTATATAAACCTGGAACTTTTTAAGTTATTAAGTAAATATAAGATTACTAACTTTCACCACTTAAACTAGGGATGATGCATGCATTGAAGTCTATGAGAAATTTTGTAATAAAAATGCTGGTTCTCAGGCTTAAAAAACTACTTAAGTATGAATGGGAGAGCCTGACTAAAAGGTTTCTTCCTATAGATCTAACATTTTCTGTATGATCATCTGCATCCTGTGGTAAACCTGCCCATATGTTTAACTTGTTCTTGCCACATTTGCTTACCTTGACTTTCTGATTAGTCTTACTCTCACTGCCCTTTTCACCTGAGGCTCCCTACTGAAAGGCTTAATTGCAGGGAACTCTCTCCCATTTCAGAGAACATATTCCTAATGCTCTTTACGGCACCATCCATGAGGTATTTCCTTTTAGTAAGAGCTGGTAGAAAATCACACCAGTGCCAATGCAGTGAGAATTGTGAGGCAGGAGGATGTGAAAGGCAGAGTTTGGCTGTTTAATAACTCCATTATGTAAGTAGACACTATAAGGCATTTGAACTGTACTCCCTTTAAGAATAATAACATCATAAAATTGTCAACAATGAGAATTATTACTGGACCAGGTACAGGCTAAGATCATCCCCCAGCCTTCAAAAACTCAACTGAGCACTCCTATCACAAGAGAACCATGGAGTAGGTCCTCGGGAGACAAAGGGAGGAGACAGACATTACATTTCATTTCCTACTTCTTCTAGCTCCTGCTTTATTCATTTGGGCAAAGGAAGGGCAAAGTGTCTGAAATAAAACCCACAGTTCGTCTATACTTCTCTATTACTCCATCCATGCTGAGACTGAGTCACAGGAGCATGGGGAGCATGCACCGGAGGTGCCCAGAAAACTGCATTCCTCCTGACTCCATTTAAGTTATGTGTTGCCCATGGTTGGTTATGACCTACTGGTACTGTCCAGTAGTTAAGGCTCTTAGGAGAGACAGTAGAGCAGAGACCCCAGAGAGCTCACATAATCTAATAAACAAACAAACAAACAAAACATCTCAGCCCTGAAGGTCAAACTCAGAGAGATCTGGTTATGCTGTTGGGAGAGAGAGACATTCATCATGGGAGTATTTTACATTCAATAAAGTCTGAAGGAGCGAGTTAGATAATCTCTAAATGTTCTTCCCTGGAGAAGGAGCACATAATAGTTGCTTCTCAACTACAGATCCCAATATTGGTGTTGTAAAAAACTTGCTGAGGATTTTATAGGAACTTCTAGCCCCAAAGTATAAAGCATATGACTTACTTCCCACATGATAAAAGTGTCCCCTTGAAGAAAATGACACTAAGAATTCTGAGTGGGCAGCGGTCAGAGTCCTGTGCAGCATGAAGCTCTCTCTCCCAGGCTCAGTCTCTTATACTGAAGTAGAACTCATGAGGGCACATCCTAGAAAACTCTTGATGGGTTAAGATACAAGAAAGCATTGTGTCTCAGCTTCAAATCCACCCTTCTATCTTTGATTTGATAATAGGGCTGAAACTATGCAAACCCCATTGCTGCTTGACCAGTCAGCCAACCAATGAGGCAGGGGACAGGGAGAGAATGCTAGAGGGAGACTAGAAGACTGTAGGAGGGAGAAGGGGGTTTTTCTTTCCCATTTGTATCCTATGGGCTTGAGGTTTCTGTGAACCTCACTCCAGCAACACTAGGAGTGTGTGGGAGATGGAGGTGGCTGAGAAAGAATCAGTGGAAAGGAAAAGGAGAAAACCTACAGAAAAATGTTACAGACAATATGTTCTTTCCCCTAAATACTTGTGTGTATTTCCTAAAAGCAAGGACTATTTCTTTCATGAATTCAATTATCAAAATCAGGAAACTATATTGATATAATTCTCTGTACTCAATTTACCTTATTCAAGTATTGCCAATTATGCCATGAATGTCCTTTATGGAAAGTTGTTTTGTTTTGGTTCCCCCGGATTCAATCCAAGATTCCATAGCATTTAATTATCATCTCTAATCGTCTTCAATCTGGAAGATTTTCTCAGTCCTACTTTGCCTCTTATGACTTTGACATTTTTGAAGGGTGCATGCTATTTTGTACAGTATCCTTCAACTTGGATGTGTCTGCTGTTTCCTCATGAATTAGAATCAGTAAAGCATTTTAGCGGAAATGCCGCAGAAGTGATGTTCTTTTCAGTACATCATGTTAAGAGGCACGTGATTTCTTTCTTCTATTCTTGGTGCTAACTTTAATCAGTCGATTAAGGAGATTATCAACCAGCTTTCTTCACTGTAAAGTTGCTGTTTTCCTTAGTAATTATTAGAAACTTTGTGGGGAAATAGGTTGAAAATCTAGATAGCCTTTCCTCCTCAAATGTCTACTCATTAGTTTTAGCATCCGTTGATGATTCATGCCTAAAAATATTATGATGATGTTTGCTAAATAACAATTTGCCAAATGATAGATCATTCCTTTTATAATTATTAGTTGGCATTTTCCCATAAGAGATTTTCCTTCTCCCCATTTATTCCATTTTATTTATTTTTTTGTTTGTAACAGTATGATTGAAGTTTTTCCTGCAGCTCTCAGTAGAAAACAGATCAGGTATTTTCCAGTAATTTCTGCCCACCAGCCTCCTTGTATATGGGAGACATAAAAAGGGTCAACACAAATCAGAGCACAAATAACAGGTGACAGAGGCCACAGTTAGGCATAAAATATTCCATCTGGGCTTAATATCCCATACTGAGGTCTGGGACATGAAGGCTCTTCCTCCTTTAAGGAAAGGTATCTGAAACAAACCTACTCTTGTTCTATAATATTTCCATATAGATTTCTGCATAAACTCAGACCCAGGTCCTTTTTCAGAGAATTTTGGGAATTTAGGACATCACATGATACAAAGCACTGCTCTTCCTCTTGGCCATTCCCATTGATTCAGGTGATATACGGGCTGCTTAGGACATATAAAAGGCCAACCACTAGCTTAGTTTATTCAAGGTCATAAAGATCAATCCTGGCATAAAATTTGTATCTCAAGGCTTGAAGCTCAAGTGAAACTGTGTAAGTAAAACCACTCTTATTCTTTCCTTTGTATATTGCCTATAAATATCTAGCTTCTCAAATGCTCTTTGGGACAGTTTTAACACATTACAGTTCCTCTGATAAAAATCAATCAATCAATCAATCAATCACTGGTATGCACATATTGAATTTGCTTAAGGGTCCTGATTTTGCCATTTTAAAAATTTTATTTCAAAACAGTTTTAACACATTACAGTTCCTCTGATAAAAATTAATCAATCAATCAATCAATCAATCACTGGTGTGCACATTTTGAATTTGCTTGAGGGTCCTGATTTTGCCATTTTAAAAATTTTATTTCAATAGGAGTTTAGAATTGTACAGATTTATTTGAGAGATGGATTGGGATTTTGTTAAGGATTGAGAAATTTATTAGAAGGAGAAATAGATGCTGAGAAAAGAGAAGCAATTTGGACTTAGGGTAAAAGAAAAGAGGTTTAAAAAGCGTTAAAATGATAAGAGCTGCTTTCTTGAAATGGAACTCCTCCTCTCTGGGTTTGCCTTCATTCCATCTCCCCACTCAAAATCAAACCATTTGCTTCAGAGTGGTAGTCTCTGACTCCTCAGGAAAGACCTCCTCAGCTGTAGCAGGAGTTAGAACCAGGGGCATGTTAACCAAGAGTCCCCCAGAAGAAGGCTGTGAGCAGATGCAAGAAATCTCAAAGATATCCTTATAAAGTTTGATTCTCCTTGGT